ATAAAACACATTTATACTTATATAACTGTCGCTTCTGTCTGGACATGATTTTGTCTGAAAAAGTGTAACATACGTAACAGTATCAGGAAAAGATTGTCACCTATATTGTCCATAAAACCTGGAGTTGAAATCAGGCGATCTGTTGTCCGTATGTGGTGAATGTGTGCTTTTTTAACTGTGGCCATATGCTTTTTGTGGCAAAATAACAGGTACATCTCTGCCACAGTTTGTCTCCTTCATCTTGTGAAGGCGTGAATTTGGTGAGAGAATTGTATTTGCCTTGGTGTAATCACGCAGTTTGGTATTTGTTCTCCCCTGACATGATGTCCATTCAGGGGTTCATCGATAAATAACTCGTAAGCAGTCGCAAGTTCAACTGGGCATTGTTCTCAAGTGGACAAGATGGCTTTATTCCAACTTTGTGTTTGCCATAATAGTCATGGGGACTGGGAACAAACTCTGTCACAGTCCTGCCAATCCCTGTTGCGGTCTGCTCGGTGGGGTCGGATATGTACGTGGTTGTGGCTTGGAGGTTTGTGGTTGGTGCAGGTTGTGGCAGTGTGGGGTGGGTTGAGGTGGTTTTGTTCTGCTGAGCAAAGCCGACGTGGGTAGTAGCATGGCCCAGTGATGGTGGGCCACATGGGCCGTGCCACCCTCAACTATCACCACCACTGCCTCCTCCCTCACTGTCAACCTTCATACCATCGTTACAATTCGTCATCTTCACTATCAGGTCGTGGTGTAGTGCCACGGGATGTGTGCTCCCCAGAGTTTCTCCTTTCCCTTGGAGAACAACATATGAACACTACCAGACCGCATATACGTTGTAACTACTGCGCTTCACTGGGGAATATTCCACTTCACTGTCACTAGAAATCTTGCTTTCTATGACATTGATATCTCCTATCACTATCACTATCACTATCACTGCTATCATATCAGGGTGTTGTACAACGACCAAATAGTTTCCTCTTTCGTCCTTGGTACTGCGCGACGTGAACGTGAACAAGCAGGCACAGCACCAGAGCGTCGATGGTTGTGGGTATCTGGGTTTTTTTCTGTCATATTTACGTTATAATGGGCACTTTTTTTTTTCGGTAAACATCACTTGAAAACCCTTGAATTCATCTGTCACTGGACATTTTCTAGCTGGTAGAGCTATCAATCTGGGAACAAAAGCCTCCAATCAGCTCGTGGTGTGAGGAACTTCTTAACGAGAGCATGAGTGAAAATGGACTGACAACATGGACGTTCCCACATGCACCGTGCGATGTCCCAGATCTTTTTCACGGGTGCTCACGACCACTGAGACCCATTCTCTCCCGTGTAGGTCTGTACCAGGCCTTTGGACGCTCTCGTATTGAAAGCCGCATAGAATTTAGTGCGTATAAATACGTCAGAAAAATTGGCTTCATAAGACGTATTTATACGTCGCGAAACAGTCAATGGGTTTAACTTCCTATGTCAAAATTGACTGGAAATTCTTTGACAGCGGTAATCTAGAGCTCAGTGGCTTTATGGTACAGTTTCAGGGACTGTTTTCTGAAACAGAGCGTAAACTGAGCCTAACCAGGGGTAATTAATTTGCTAGACCTTCGTCTTGTCAAATAAGGAAACCACTCGTGAATTAAATCTGGAGATCACTGAAAGAGCTTGGCACAAGTGATTCTCAAATCCATCACTTTTAGCATTATTGGAACGGGCATGAATAATTATAATACAGTAAAATTCCATGATTTTTCGTTCTGCGATTATAATGGACTTTGGGAACATCTGTCTAATCTGATGGGGTTATTCTAGCTAATGATTTATTGACAATATTCATACTTATGAATATGAAGGGAATCTGATTCTTATGATTTGTTTTCTTATAATCTTACACAGGGCCCAGTGTATAATACACATCCACAGAGTGAAAATAGGTCTAATTAATAATATCAAATGGGGTTTAACAGGGTGGCTAAAGAATCTATTTGGGCGGGAGAAAAGGGGAATTTATTGGCACATCGGAAGAGGTGAGGTTAAACCTTACTGACCATTATGTCTGCTTATAAGAGAAGTAAAAAAGGCGATTAGATAGGACTTAACGTGACTATGAAATTAGAGTTGCTAATGAATCAAATAGACTAATCCAAAGGGGTTTTTTCAAGTGCTATAGGGATGAAGGTTGAAAGGAAAAAGTGTATAGGACTCTGAAAACTGGGAATGGACACTGATGGATAATGAATCTGGAAATGTTGTTCTTATTTTACATGACTATTTTTTGTCAGTTTTTGTACGAACAGGAAGTGTAAATGATGGGATTACAGATAATTATCAATTATTTTGTTCACTGATGAATTTAAGTTATCTAATATTACTGTCACGAGGGGGACCTGGTTATTAAACAGATAGACAAACTGAAACAAAATAAGTCCCCGGAACCGAATGAGTTGTTTTCAAGGGTACTTAAGAATGCAAGATGGAAGATTTAGTCAGCCATTAACGAGAGTATTCAATGAGTCCCATTCCTTACCAGTGTTGTGCCAGAGTTGTGGAATATGGCTATTGTGGATCCTTTATTTCAATCTGGGGAATAAGTCCATCATTCAAATTACGTCATTAACCTATCATCTATTAGTGGGCAAGTTATAAGATCAATTATAGTGTCATTATAAGAGTCACATTTTAGGCATAACTTGATAATGAATCTCAGCAGGGATTCACGAGAGGTCGTTTCCTGCTGAACAAACTTGACTGACGTTCTTCAATAGAAAACATTTGAGGCAGTTGACAGTGATAAGGGAATTTGATATTGTTTTCTTTGGATTTTTTTAAAGCCTTCAACAGAAGTACTCACAAGAGAGCTCTTAAGAAAAAGTGGCAGGCTCATGGTTTTAGGGAGGTATGTTCTGCATGGTTGTGGCAAGGCTTACTCCAATTGAAAGCAGAGAGAAGTTACATTAATGGAGTGAAATTGAATGGGGATTAGTCACTAGTGTGCGTTCAACAAGGATCAGTTTTGGCCCTCTCCTGCTTCATAATTTACATTAATGACCTTGGATGAAGGGATTTACTAGTCGAACATGAGTAAGTTTGATGATGATTACAAGATAGGCGTATAATTCATCTTAGGAGGATATCAATGAACTCTCCAGGACAGATTGAAAGAAATTAATTGTCTTGGTCTGAAAAAAAAATTGGACTGATGATAGTTTAATGATGGATAAGTGTAAGGTACTTGCCCTTGGTAATGAAATTAACCACTCGCAAGCTATAATCTAGGTGAAGTAGAGCTTGGGTTTTCCATACCTGAATGTGAAAAAGAAGTGGAGTCATGGTAAGTAGAAATCTAAAGCCAAGGACAGCAGTGCACTTCGTTGTGCACACAAGGCCAACAGTATTACTTGGATTTATCTCCAAGAAAGTATAAGTAAACAGAAGTCAAAAGTTATTTTACAGCTCTTTAACATCATAGTGAGGCCTCATTTAGATTAGGCTGCTCAGTTTTGGTCCCTTTCTACAGGATGGACATAGATCATTAGAGAACATAACAGAGAAGAAATGACTCTAAATGATTTACTGGTAAGGAACCTCCTGTATAAAGATAGACTTAAAGCCTTAAATCTCCACTCTCTGGAGAGGCGTAGAATGAGGGAAAATATCATTGAAGTGTATAAGTGGATGACTGGCATAAACAAGGGAGACATTAATAAAGTACTGAGGGTGTCGAACCGGGTTTAAGAACCAGGAATAATGGATTTAGTTGGATAAATTTAGATTTAGAAAGGACATAGGTAAGTACTGGTTTTCTAACAGAGTTGTTGATGCGTGGAACAGTCTTCCCAGTGGGGTGATAGAGGCTAGGACCTTGAGTAGCTTTAAGAAGAGACTGGACAAATATATGAGTGGGAGGGGCTGGGTTTGATTGGTGTCATGGGGTACGGGAGTTATTTGTTGAGTAGCTTTAGGTAGATGTCGTTTTGATAAGGACCTGCCTCGTATGGGCCAGTAGGCCTTCTGCAGTGTTCCTACATTCTTATGTTCTTATGTTCTTAAGAAACACAAAGGAGAGTATAGCGAGTGCAAGGTTGTTAGATTTAGGTCATCATACGTATTAATGTACTTAACGTAAGTGCCCATAACACAGAAATGTCACTTTGACTTTTTTGGGTTATCCTGGTGGGTAATTTTCAGTGTGATGATTGTACTTATGTATACCTGTGCCTAAATAAACTAAATAACCATTATAAACAAAATTTGCGGATCCTAAACCTAAATAGACCTACATTTTTCATTTATTTGACAGGAAGGTAGAGTATGTCTACATAGCTAAATTTTTATTTAGGCTGAGTACACTAGCTTAAATTTCTACATTTTTTTGTATAGTAACGCATGGGTTTTAAATTATTATTATAGTTACAGGGAGCACTAAACCTGTATGGGTAATAAACCAGCTGAGGAATGGAAGACAATCATCCCAGAAATGAATACGTTTATTTAGGTAGAAGTACACATAAGTATAATTATCATACATAGTATAAATTACCCACCAGGATAACCCAAAAAAAAAAGTGAAAGTGGCTTATTTTCATTGGGGTCCCATTGGAAAGGGAAGCTCAGTCCAATCCCTTGGATCAAGAGACCACTTCCAGCATTAAGGCACTTCCCATGAAGGCTAAAAGACGAGAAAATTAACTCAGGATAACCAAAAAAAAACCTAAAGTCTGCATAAATTAAAGAAAGATAAGCAAAATAACGTCAACCAGTACGAATCACCTCCAGAAATGCTCCACCAACCCACTACCTCCACAAACCTCATTCCAAAAATAACTTTCCCTACATACACACAACATATACAACATAACACACTTGCAAAAACATCGAGGGTGACCTCACAGTGGTCAACATGACCTCATTTCCCCCGACCCCCGAGTGGTGATACCTGGGTGTCACCTCACTCACCCTTCAACCTCACTTCTCACCTCATATTCACCTATATTAACCCCCACACAGCTTACCAGAGTCAGTATACCAACTGCCAGCGTGGGTGGCGCGACGAGCCGACATTTTGATACCTATTTTGGTCAACTTTGGCTAAAATAAAGAAATGAAAGTAAATGACAACAATGAAGGTTGGTGTGACAGGTCGGTTATTCTCTGATCCACCGACCAACAACTTCCTCATACACTCCATTCTAAACTTTATTATCTTAAGTAAAGTAAGTAAGTAAGTTTACTTAGGTATACACAAATACAGTTATGTAGATTATTATACATAGCAGCATATATGTAGACAACCTGGGATAACCCAAAAAAGTCAGAGTGACTTATTTCCACCGGGGTGAGTGAGTAGAGTAATTAAGTAAGTAAAGTAAGCAAAGTAAGCAAGTAAGTAAAGTGAGCAAGTAAGTAAAATGAGCAAGTAAGTAAAGTGAGCAAGCAAGTAAAGTGAGTAAGTAAGTAAAGTAAGCAAGTAAGTAAAGTAAGTAGAGTAAGTAAAGTAAGTAAAGTAAGCAAGTAAGTAAAGTGAGCAAGTAAGTAAAGTGAGCAAGTAAGTAAAGTGAGCAAGTAAGTAAAATGAGCAAGTAAATAAAGTAAGTAAAGTGAGTAAGTAAAGCAAGCAAGTAAGTAAAGTGAGCAAGCAAGTAAGTAAAGTGAGCAAGCAAGTAAAGTGAGCAAGTAAATAAAGTAAGTAGAGTAAGTAAGTAAAGTAAGTAAAGCAAACAAGTAGGTAAAGTGAGCAAGTAAAGAAAGTAAGCAAAGTAAGCAAGTGAGCAAGTAAGTAAAGTAAGTAAAGTAAGCAAGTAAGTAAAGTGAGCAAGTAAGTAAAGTGAGCAAGTAAGTAAAATGAGCAAGTAAATAAAGTAAGTAAAGTGAGTAAGTAAAGCAAGCAAGTAAGTAAAGTGAGCAAGCAAGTAAAGTGAGCAAGTAAATAAAGTAAGTAGAGTAAGTAAGTAAAGTAAGTAAGGCAAGCAAGTAAGTAAAGTGAGCAAGTAAAGAAAGTAAGCAAAGTAAGCAAGTGAGCAAGTAAGAAAAGTAAGCAAGTAAGTAAAGTGAGCAAGTAAAGTAAGTAAGCAAAGTAAGCAATTAAAGTAAAGTAAGTAAAGTGAGCAAGTAAGTAAGCAAGTAAGTAAAGTGAGCAAGTAAGTAAAGTGAGCAAGCAAGTAAAGTGAGCAAGTAAGTAAAGTAAGTAAAGTGAGCAAGTAAGTAAGCAAGTAAGTAAAGTGAGCAAGCAAGTAAAGTTGAGCAAGTAAGTAAGTAAGTAAAGTGAGTAAGTAAGTAAAGTAAGAAAAGTATGCAAGTAAGTAAAGTAAGCAAGTAAGTAAGTAAGTAAAGTGAGCAAGTAAGTAAAGTAAGCAAGTAAGTAAAGTGAGCAAGTAAGCAAAGTAAGCAATTAAGTAAAGTAAGTAAAGGGAGCAAGTAAAAGTAAGCAAGTAAGTAATGTGAGCAAGTAAAATAAGTAAGCAAAGTAAGCAAGTAAGTAAAGTAAGCAAGTAAGCAAGTAAATAAAGCAAGTAAAGCGAGCAAGTAAATAAGCAAAGTAAGCAAGTAAGAAAGTAAAGTAAGAAAGCAAGCAAAATAAGCAAGTATTTTAAAATAAGTAAAGTAAGCAAGTAAACTAAGCAAGAAAATAAAGTAAGAAAGTAAGTAAAGTAAATAAGTAAAATAAGTAAGTAAGTTTAGTCAGGTATACACAAATACACTTACATAGATTATCATACATCGCACAATATGTGATAACCCAAAAAAGTCAGACAAAGTCACTTATTTCCACTGGTATCCTTCAAAACCTAGTCGTCTATATTCATTAAATGTATATACTCTGAGAGGTGTAGGCCTCTAAGTGTAAATACACTGAGAGGTATAGGCCTTTCGGTACATATACACTGACAGGCGTAGGCCTTTTGGTGTATATACACTGAGATGTACTCACCTAATTGTACTCACCTAATTGTGGTTGCAGGGGTCGATACTCAGCTCCTGGCCCCGCCTCTTCACCGAGTGCTACTAGGTCCTCTCTCCATGCTCCATGAGTTTTATCATACCTCATCTTAAAGCTATGTATGGTTCCTGCCTCCACTACCTCATTTGCTAGGCTATTCCACTTCCTGACTACTCTGAAGAAATACTTCCTAACATCCCTGTGACTCATCTGAGTCTTCAGCTTCCAATTGTGACCCCTTGTTTCTGTGTCCCCTCTATGGAACATCCTGTCTCTGTCCACCTCGTTTATTCCACGCAGTATTTTGTATGTCGTTATCATGTCTCCCCTGACCAGGAGTTTACCAGGAGTTTACCTGGAGAGAGTTCCGGGGGTCAACGCCCCCGCGGCCCGGTCTGTGACCAGGCCTCATGGTGGATCAGAGCCTGATCAATCAGGCTGTTGCTGCTGGCTGCACGCAAACCAACGTACGAGCCACAGCCCGGTTGGTCAGGTACCGACTTTAGGTGCTTGTCCAGTGCCTGCTTGAAGACAGCCAGGGGTCTATTGGTAATCCCCTAATGTATGCTGGGAGGCAGTTGAAACAGTCTCGGGCCCCTGACACTTATTGTGTTGTCTCTTAACGTGCTAGTGAAACCCCTGCTTTTCATTGGGGGGATGTTGCATCGTCTGCCAAGTCTTTTGCTTTCGTAGTGAGTGGATTTTCGTGTACAAGTTCGGTACTAGTCCCTCTAGGATTTTCCAGGTGTATATTAATCACATATCCTTTCCCCCTGCGTTCCAGGGAGTACAGGTTTAGGAACCTCAAGCGCTCCAGTAATTGAGGTGTTTTATCTCCCTTATGTGCGCTGTGAGGTTCTCTGTACATTTTCTAGTTCAATAATTTCACCTGTCATGGAAGGTGCTGTTACTGTGCAGCAATATTCCAGCCTAGACAGAACAAGCGACCTGAAGAGTGTCATCATGGGGTTGGCATCCATAGTTTTGAAGGTTCTCATTATCCATCCTGTCATTTTTATAGCAGATTGCGATTGATACAATGTTATGGTCCTTAAAGGTGAGATCCTCGAACATGATCACTTCGAGGTTTCACATTATCAGGTTTTGTCACATTATCAAAATATTAAGTGGGTCATACACCAACACGAGCGCGCACGTAGATTATTCATTACCTTCGTAACTTGCCATGATTGTGACCAGGTCTACCTGGAGTTCATTACCTCTGTAAACTAGTTCATCTATCATAACTTTGGGGTCCAGTCCATGGACCCATTATGTATCTCTGTAATCTTTTGACTACCGCCCACAGGATGGGTATGGGGTGCATAATAAACATATTAAACTAAAAACTAAACATCATCAAAATCAATTATTTTCCCTATATTTGGCCTATTTGTACTCTGTAATCATATAAGGATATATAGAAATGAAGGATTCCCTTTTCTTATGTTGCTGTAGCACTGTTTTGGGCATTAGTGTTCCCTTCTTTAGAGGCTCTATGGTGTCACCCCTTTATGGTGTCACCCGGGGCGTCCCCATCCCCCTTACAACATCACTGTCTGTTGTTATTGACAAAATCTTGGATGGTATGAGACTTGTAGGTGACAGATGGACGGCTCCGGTATCACGTCGTGCAGTATTATTCAGGGTTCCCTCAGCAAACTTAAACCTGGGTTTTTATACTTGTCAGTTTTCTATTTTCTGAGGCATCAATTGCATAATTCTCTAAAACCATGTAAATTATATCGTTTTCATTTATATATTATTATAAAAAACTGTTTCCTTTATGTAAAAAACATGTATTACCATATAATGCAGGTTTGATGCAATGCTTATTACATAACAAAATATATATTTTAAAAGTTCAATTAAGTGTTTAATTCTTATGTACAAAACAACCAAACAATTTGAGAAAACCTTCCTTAATACGTTGTTTAAGAGGAAGTCCTCTGGTATAATCTCTAATACGTCACCGTAAGAAACATGTCTCTCGGGGAAATTTTATGCCGTTGTTTTGTAAAATTATTACCTTCAGTTTCTTTAACACTGGGAGTCCAATGATTATAGGATGCATAAATTTTTTTACAACTTGAAATCAACATTTATTATCTCTGAATCTATTTTTAATTTAACATTTAGAGCTAAATGTGTAACCGGTGACACACCATATACAGTATTTATGGATAATGGACGTCGTAGTTTAGTTAATTTTAGGCCGAATTTGCGGGCACTTCCTCTGTTATGATTGACATAGGACTTCCAGTGTCCAAATGGCAAAATTGCAGCTTGGCCCTCGATTTTCCAGCTCTTGGAACATGTGCCGAGGAGTAAATGTCCCTTTAATAATAGTTTACGAGCTACAAGCTGTGGCTTTATTCATAATAAATTCCAGGGAAAATTGATGGCCAACCAAGAAGTCCAGCCTAGAAGACCAAAATTCAAATTACCATCAATTATGGTAACAGGGAGGTCTATTCATTCCTTTAAAACGTAAAAACAAGCCACAGGTTTCAATTTTTCCCGTAACTCTTTTTGTTCTTGATTTTTCCCGCC